CCGCCCGTGTGAACAGAACATAAAAATAAATAAGGGCCGGTGCTTGAATACCCGCCCGATGTAAAAAGCTGATTTTTCAGTGATAGAGAACAATAGGAAATAAGAAGAGCTTTTGTCACAACGCTGTTGAATTTTAAGCGCTGGTGAACAGATAGCATTGATTAGGTAACATCGTGGTTCTCGGACTGGGGCGTCGCGACGCCCAAGTGCGTCGTTTCAATATTGATGGGGCGTCGCAAAACTGTTCTTCTTTTGCGGATTTGTACCTGCGGTGCGTAGAAAAATTTAAGGTATTACTTTTAAAAAGACGTGAATAATTTGCGTTTGACGTGAATAAATTAACATGGAAAAATGTCGTCGAATATTTGTCTTCAAAGATACCGTAATTTTTGTGTATAATTTTACTTTAAAAATAACAAGCGCCCGTGCTTGAATAAGGGCCGGATTAAATAAGGGCCCGGTTAGTGAGTTTGGTTAAAAAAATATGGGCCCGGGCTATAAAACGAGCAAATACGGTATATCAAGTGCAGTCCTTCGGCAAAACAAGTGGGTTGCGATAATGAAGAATATGCATATATCGGTGGTAATCTCTTGACCCTAGCCTAGCCTATGTGAATTGTAAGATTCCTCTAATGCAGGGGTGTGCAACCTTTTTCGCAGGCGGGCCAAATATCAATACCTGGATAAAACCGCGGGCCGCACATTCATTTAACATAGGCTTTCTATTAGTTGCAGGCACAAAATAGTATATTTTTGTTATCGATCTCAAGTCGTCATTATTAGGGGTCCTTGAAGAAAACGCATAAATTTCTTGAAACTGTAATTCAAATATATATATTGTCACACCCAATTTAAACGAATTTAGTGAGAAATTTGCTGTTGGATTCTTTTCCAGGCTACTTCTATCTAAATTTGCTCAAATGCAAGTGCTAGCAATTCGACATGACGCCCATTTTAGAAAAAAATATGTAACCGAAAAGTGCCATATTTGAAGCCATGACTTTTCTCAGATGTGGAAAGTTATCTTAGTTGAGATGTTTTTGGTATAATACGCCAAGATTCATTCCCAAATACTTTGCTGTCAAATCTTATTCTATATTAGATTTAAACAAAATCAACTGATAGGCTGGAACCAAAACTCATTTAGCTTTTCTGCATAGATAATAAATTGGACTCGAATATAAGCTTTGCAACATAAAGAGAACTAGATCAAACTAAATTAAAAACTAGTTTAGCTGGCCGCACACCATTGAAAATTGGCACTTCTCCGCGGGCCGCACAATTTTCCCTCGCGGGCCGCATTTGGCCCGCGGGCCGCACTTTGCACACTCCTGTTATAGACCATCCTACAAACAAATTATTTTGGGGAAGTTCCATGAAAACCACAAATGTGATAACAGCCCTTCTTTTTAAAATTTTTGAAAAAGTCACTAATAAACGCGGTTTAATTTTACAAGCTAATTTTGTTAGCATCGCCAATTGTTTTCTTCCGCGCCGCGTGATTATTTACGGAATTAACATCGGCATTATGTCAATTTTAATTAAAAAAAAGTTTACATCCCGTGAAAAGTTACCCTTGTTGCAAATTCAGTAAATAGGATTATTACGAAATTTTGGAGATTCAACAGCACCTATAGAATAGCGCTTTGTTTTATCTATCACTGGCCCATAAATCAAGAGTCGTGGTATTTTCGTTAGCATTTACTGCCTTATTTTCAGTCAAAAATGTGTGTTTCAGATTTACACTTTTAACGATAGATATTTACGGTGATTTCAGTCCCGGGCAAAATAAAACAATTTTCGGCGCTATTTACCGACGAGACGCACTCGACTTTTTTCCCGAATATGTTGCATCTGCATTTATTGTACTAAATAAATTATACTCATTGGAATTGCAATAATAGCTCAAATTTGATAAGTTCGCAAGATCGCAAAATACCAATTAAAACTGGATTTATTCGTGCAGCTCACCACGTATTTTCATATCTAGAGTAGAATCAATTTTATTTTAACGCAAGTCGACGCAATCGCGAGATACGTTGATCACAGTTATTATGGAAAAACATTTTAAAATGCTCGAGTCGGCCACAAATTGAATATTTTGCGCAATAGAAAAGGGGGCGTATGGCTAAAATATAGGCAGAGTAGTGTGAATAAAAGTTGTTATTATATGTTCTGGGAGATGTCAGTCGTCACTCAACAAAAAACATAGAAATCACTAATGCGTATATATGCATTATTGATACTTCTCTATTATTTGGTTAACCGTCACAATAATATCCGCATATCAGATAGCAAAATACCTTTCGGTTAACCGGATAACCGTTATTCAGATAATCCAACCCTGGGGCAACGGCCGGCACCCAACTTGCATCATGTTAAACAAGTTGATGGACGCCATCTTGTGCCATATTTGGGAAACGCGAAACAATGGAGTCTTTTCTTATGGAAAATTTCGTCGTGCTGTGGTACCGAATCGAATAAGTCAGCTGTTATGAGGGCTAGAATGAAGCCGAAGAGTGGATTTTAAACTTTAAGATATATGCTATCTAAATATATAATGAAATCAAGAATAAAAAACTATCTAATGCGTTAAATTTGACCACAAACACAACGTAGAACCATTTTTGGTCATTTTTTTGTAGATTTTGTAGTGATACGCCAATTTGACGCTGTAAAATGTCTCCGCAACAACCCTACAATGTCGTTTGTTATTCTAGCACAGCTTGTAGCTGAGCAGTAGGGCATCATGGAGATTGACATACGAAAAATGTTAACCCGAAAATAGAAACGGCTATTGAAGCTAAGTTGAGTCGGCCGGTAATTGCGACGAATAAATACAACTTTTCATCTGTGACATCATAAGGAAGCCATTGTCAAATGGTTAATTATGACGATTAGAATTGCCAACTAACTTCGGAAACAACTAGGTACCGGTATACTTCAAAGACAACCTAATGTACTATAAATGTAATTTGCTTAATATGAAAAGATATCAGCATGTTCGGATAAGATTCTCCTTCAAAACGCTACCTTCAAAATTTTTCTACCTAAAATATTAGTTCAATAATAGGTACGTTTCAATAATTGTGTACGAACTTCTCATAGGGCGCCGTGTTGGATGGCCGAGAATAATAGGCACAAGATGGCATCCATTGGCTGAGCGTAGTCTCGCTTGTATTATAATATATATACGCTTTGCCCTAGGGTAGATATGCCGTGGATGGTTGTATTTCCATTTTGTAATTAAATGTTATGTAGGGGAATTCCATTTTACTAGTTTCACTTGTTGGCATTTATTTCGGTACAGCTTTAAAGTTTTTTCTTGGCAATCTGTACTTGATTGTTTTATTACGAATTTCTATGATCATGACATAGAACAGGGGTCGGCAACCCCTGGCACGCGTGCCAATTGTGGCACGCGAGAGGATTTCACATGGCACGCCAAGTGATTTAAAGCAGATTCAGAATCGATGAGAATCCGAAAGTGTTGCCGCTTTTTGCTACTTTCGGAAAAACAATGGATCAGAGGCCTAAATCCGTACGGGAATTTAGTGTAGCTAAGTATATGCAGTGCGGCGTTGCCAGATTTGGCTACTTTCGGAAACGCTTCGCTACTTAAAACTACTCGTTCACCTGCTCGCAACTTTTTATACTACTGTTGGGTTACTTTTTGCCTTTTGAAAATCGTGAAATATTGAATATTATTTTATCAATTCATACTTTTGAGCTTTTTGCTAAAATCGCCGATTATTTTCGTCAGCGTGACGAGTTATTTTGACCGTAAACACTTTTAGGTCGGTGTTTATTTTCCCAGAATCAGGAAAAGTAGCTATTTCACGACAACGATAATAATTACTTTCTATTCGTATTTGCCCAGAATTGTGAATTGGCTGAGAGTTATTATACAATAATCGACGGCGAGTTGCTTTAAGTCAAAAAGGAGTATATATCGGCGACGCAAATTTTTTCATTGAAAAGCGGCAATATAAAATAATAAAAATAAAACCGTAAATATTTTGTTGTATGAGGCCCGTGACAGATTAAAAACGCTCCTTTGGGCATTATAAATTGCGCGATTTCGTGTGCCTAAGGCACACATAGGTTTGAGCGGCGTTGAGAATCATAACGCCACTAGAATAGAAACACGGTTAAAAATGTTGCGCGGATTTTTATCCATTACTTTAAATTGCCGTCGGGAATATTCGTGTTAATATTATACGATTAATAGTATAAGGTTGGAAACACGACTTTTTCCCGAGTCGTGTTGAGGTAATTAATTAAAGTATATTCAATCAATTTTAATTACATTTTACACTCTGGAATTTTATAGCAGACTTAGGGTTTTTCTAACAGTTTTATCTTGAAAAAAATAATCTGACTGGCAGCATTGCGATAGAGCGGAGTCATTTTTGCGATTACCGCTCAGATTTGTCGAATTCGCAAAATGGCAGTAATGCGGATCAAAACAATATATAATCGGGAAGTTTACCAGTTTTATGCCCGCGGATTGCTGTGGTATTTTAGGGTAGTGATGCGTTTATATTGTCGACGCAACCGCAGGTTAAATTGAAGACAAGTAAATTATAATACAGCAATACATTTTAAATATGGCCGGTATCGGTCATGGATTGATCATTTTGCACAACAGAAAAATCATTATTATCCGTCAAGATAGCCGCAGGGATTTTGAGGCATAAATATGTATTTTGATTTACTGATATACTTTATATGTATTTAATTGTACTCTACGAGATTTTTATTACAGATCTTGGGATTTTTCTTACATCGATAACGAATTCGCAAGATCACAAAAAAGTAAATACACTCAGGCATGTTTATCTCATATTTTTATACGTCAACTGATTGAGCGGTATTTTGAACTAATGTTTATATTTTGATGCAAGAAGACGCAACCGCGAATTACGTTGGACACAATTATTTCAGTATAGAAGGGAATTTTATAGATTCTCAGTGCTGTCATGAATTGAATATTTTACGCGAGTGAAAATACGCTAAAAAAGTCGGCTCTTTTTAGGAGCGCGTAATCGCGGCGACTGTTTCAGAAGAGAAATGGAATTTTCGATTCCGACTATTCAAATCAGGTAGTTGACTATGCAAACCAAACACAGAAAAATGTTTGGCACGCGAAGGTGCTCATTATTTATAAAATGGCACGCTGAGTTTAAAAGGTTGCCGACCCCTGACATAGAACATGTTATGTAGGGGAATTCCCTTTTACTTGTTATTCATTGATTTTAATCGGTAAGTATGTTGATATGTATTTGTCTGTCTGTATGTATGTCTGTTAGATGCACGCGATATCTCACGAAAGCGAGATTGAATCCAGATTTTGCATGTGCATTCATCATATCTCGGACCAGAAGCCTATTGATTTTGGGCAAATTATGTCGTATAATCAGCGAGATATTAACTAATTGTGATTGGACACAAGGTGTCACTATGGAGTGAGAGCGCTGTTTTGGGGGATCCCCTAGCTTTCAATCGATAAGTCTTCGGTCTCTGACCTATATTCGCGTTTCTCTTGTTGGTGTTTATTTTATTTCAGTGCAGCTTTAAAGTTTTTGCTTGGTAAATTGTAGTCTACATGGGTTTTTGGATGTAGGCCTAACTCTTTTTATTGTTTCTTAGTACTGTGAAAGGCATAGGCTCAAAGTCTACAGTGTGGCGCATCGTTCAGGCTTGTGAGTTGGGATAACGTGGGGGATCAGCCTTCAACCCCGACCTTAAATTCCACAATTTAACCTATTTATTGTAGTTTATTTATTTGATATTATAACTCTAATGCAGTAATGGCTGAGTTTTTGAATGGATTCGAAGAGTCTGCTGGATCTGAAAACTACAATAATAAAGTTTTACTTCAGATTGGAGCACCTGGCCCAGCTACACTTCGTGACGTGGGAAAAATAATAAAGGTGACTGGAACTAATGTTCGCTGGCAATACAATTGAATGCAGATACTTATTACTCTTTGTTCTAGATTATTTAACTTTTCTAAACTCCTGTTAAATTGTTATGAGTGCTATCTACAGATCTAATATTTGAAGATGAGATTTTTGCACTGGAACGAACTATTTCTATGCATTAAACTGTGTTTTCATGTAAGGATGCCACAATTCAACATTTTGATGAAACAAATATTCATTGTGAAGAAGTTCTGCAATACGGATGTACATCAGGAAATTTTCAATTCAAGGAAGAACTTGCTAAATTTTTATCAAGCAATTATAGGAATCCTGTTCATAGGTGAGATGGAAAATTATTGTAGGCGTGACATTATTTTCAAATCGAGTCATCAAGTTCATATATATGAAACAAATAACTGACTACTATTCCAGTATTCCCATGCCCAACATGGACTGGTAATGGACCACTTGAGAGGCCGTGCTTCGCCATATAATTAAGCCCTAGGCTTATAGGATTTCCTCTCCCTCGGGATAAATATGTAAATACTATCCTATTTAAAAATCTAAATAAAGGCATTTAGCTGCTATTATCATGCTTGTTGTGCGATGGTCAAGTAGTTGTGTAGGAAAAAATTGATTGGCATCATAATAGATTCAGCCAGTAGCCAATAGTTGGCGAACTCTGTTCTGACCAGCTATGAATTCCTTCTACTAATTCAGTCAGAAATTGTTTGGGACAGCTATGTGCATGAACAAGCTTCTAACTTTGCAGATGAACAACACAATGGAAATTTGTCACTTGAGAATTAAAGTTTTACAATTTTTATTCTTGGCATAACAAGAAAAACAATGATTATTTTGTACTCACCACTCACCATTTCATTTATTAACATACAGTTTTGTTTAGCAAAGATTTGTTTGTCAACACTGGATCAAGTCAAGGACTGCACAATCTTTTATCTGTATATTTTCAACCTGGTGATATCTTGTTCGTGGGAGATCCAACCTACTGGACATTACTAGACACAATATCCCATACGTTTGATGTAGGATTGACTTTTTTAGTTAATTTGTTGTATAAAGAAGGGGATAATTTGATAATGATTGGTAATACTTGAAATTATGTGTCAGGAAGAATGGATTGCCTAATCATTAAATCTGCAAAACTTTAGGATAATGTAATGCATTGGTGTTAGATCTTTTGAAATTTATTCCTATGGTTACAATATGTAGTCTTTTATTATATCTATTATTAATAGTGTCATGTCATGATAAACATGCCACCACAGTGTCGGCAACTAGGATATCTCCACACAGTTCAGCATTTTTGAACTTTGTTTACCTGGTCAATCAGTGAATAACCCACAAGTTATCTGGGGTCATCTCATATAACCTCTGTGTCTAATGGAAGCTGTTGGTGGTTCAGCTGCCAATGCCATACTCACCAACGATAACGGGGTTCTAAATACCTACTTAATATCGCGCCTTACAAATTTAATCAAATATTAAACCTTGGGTGGCACTGCTCGATGCCAGTTTTGGTTCCTCGCGGCTTCCCTTCCCATGTAAAAATGCATGTTAAAATTTTTGTGTTCCCAATTTCAATATAAACTTGACTACAACTATGATAAGTTATCAACATCATCAAATAAGTAAAACTACTTTAGCATTCGCAACACTTTATATTCTTATATTCTCTATGCATCATTTGCTCACTCCCAATTTGGATGGTGAAAATATTTTGCTTATTTTTTATTGTACTTTTTATTTATACAGTTCAAAATTGTCGGAATCAAACTGGATGAAAATGGGATGGTTGTGGATGACCTGGAAAAATACCTAGAAGCTCACACATTAAGACCTTCGACAGATAGACATCCATTTCGAGCAGTTGCCTACGTCATGCCAGTATATCATAACCCGACTACAATTTGTCTTTCAGAAGGTATATTCATACCAGTAGATGGTTCTAGAGCAGGGGTGGGCAAGGTTTTTACACCAGGGGCAAAAAATTTTTGTTCACCTAGACTGGCGGGCCATGTAAGTGTTACGTAAAAGTAACATTTCATGAACAATATTTACAGAATTACAAAAGCAAAAGTGGAAAACAGTAAGCCTTGTGACAAAACTAAATTTAATCACAATCTCAACAAATTTCTCAGGCTATTTTTTTAGCTAAAACATCAAAATTTGGTCTTAGTTTGATTGTGGAAGCATCAGGCGGGCCAATCAACCAACGGTCTGGATTTGGCCTTCGGGCCGTAGTTTGCCCATGTCATGTCTAGAGCTCGATGGCCGAGTATTTTATAGTAACTTAAATGAGACTAGAGTAAGTTATGAGTTATAGTATAGTTATGAGTAAGCTCGACTTGAGTATTATTTATATTATTTTTGTACTATTTATATTTTCAAGATCACATGTTTCTCACTAGCAGTAGTAACGCAGATCAATCTTGAATATAGTCTTTGCTCCTAAAAGCTTATAGCTATAATAAAATACAAATATACAAGACGGTTTTTCTTTTGGGTGATGGAGAAGATTTAGACTTTAGAATTTCTTTGGATTTAAATTACTTAATCCTCTTACATATTTTTGCCAATTTCAATAAAATAAGTTTATATAATTCTGACAATTCAATGCACAAGAGTGCTTGTTCTAGAATTTAGAAATATTTTTCAACAGCACTCATTTGCTTTTTCAGATCGTTGTAGAAAGTTAATCAAATTAGCACGAAAATATGAACTTATGGTGGTAACTGACGATGTGTATAACATTCTTACGTATTCTGCTCCAGACTCTAAGGATCCCAAACTTGCAAAACCACCAACTAGAATGTTTTATCTTGATAATAAATCGGATCCTGATTATAAAGGCAAGCATACACTACTGGTTTTAAAAATAACATATTATATGTTTTTTTTTTCATGTTTGTTGGCACTTTGTAATTTTTGGCCTTGCTATAAGTTTGGCATAAGGCACGAAAGCGTAAAATAGACCATTAAGTAATGTAATTTCGATGACAAATTTCTTAGTCAATAGTTATAGAAGCATATGCAGTTTAGTTTGAGTTAATCATTTGAAGTCGTACTTCACACTTTTGTGACAAATAAAGTACTGACTGATGAAATACCAATACTGTAAACAACAGCCACCCCAGATATTTCAAACACAATTTTTACTGATGAATATTTTGTTTGTAATAAAATTCATGTAAACGTCTCAGGAAATGTCATTTCCATTGGTACCTTCTCAAAAATCCTGTGTCCTGGATTGCGTCTTGGTTGGTTCGAAATCCCACATCATGTTCTTGAAAGATTTAACAAAATATTATTGAGCTTAAGTGGAAATGGACGGAATCCTTACACAAGTGCAATTGTTACAGCAGGATTGAAATCTGGTTCTGTACAGCAACATGTTACAAAACTGAGACAGTTTTATGCAGTAAGATGCTATCTTATTATTCATTGAATATGATACCCGACTTTGTAATTTGGTCTCTGTATTCAGTTGCCTATCATTTCGGTTGAATAATTTTGCCAATATATTTCATTGCAGTTTGAATATTTTACCGAGTGTTTTTGTTCAAGTACTTTGGATGTTAATATTGACCTTAAAGCCATTGGTAATATTTTTGATGAAGATCAATAAGGTTGAAGTTTTTGGTTCTGCAATGTATATGATACTGTTGATATGATATTTCATGTCTGATGATACAGTGATTTATGTCTTCTCCAAGAAGCGTTTGTAAACCAAAAAGGTGTTTTACAGCTACCGACTGAATGCAAAATTTCAATTTGCTATTTAGGAAAAGATGAAGCACGTACAAGGTTTAATAACAACTTCACTTCGTTCTTATGGTGTGAAGTGTAGTTGTCCAGATGGTGGAATATTTTTGTGGGTTGTGCTGCCAGAGGGAAAATTGTCTCAAAGTGTATTAGACTCAGCTAGCAATGAACTCAGCTTTATCACTGGAGATAGGTATAGTATATTTTGGTATGATATTTTTGTTGTGGAATACCAACAGTTTCTGTAGTTTTTGTTGGCTTGAGTTATTGATTTCTTTCTTGAATTCACTGTTATATCATGTGCTTTAGTCACTGCCCTTATTGGTCACACGAAACGTTACCACATTTTATCAACAAAAAACGAACACAATTAGTGGTTGTAGAAGACATAGCAAAATGAAGTACTTTCTTGTCCAGTTTGCATAAAGCAATGTCCTGGGCCTCCACTAAAAGTGGAAATACTTAGTATATTTTATTAACAAAAAATAGGGTAATAGCCATGGGGAAACTATATTCTTAACAAGGAGACAGAACTATGACATGTCTTTTTCAGGTGTTCATTTTCCCACTCTCATGGCGATGGAATGAGAATATGTATTTCCTTTTATGAACCAGATGTGCTTTATCCAGCTATAGAAAAATTGTGCAATTATATCAAGAACATGCTTAGCAGAAAAGAATGAAAATGCTCAAGCCAATCAAATGCATGGATGATGAGACTCGCAACTCGCTACCGTACCCGAGTTATCAAGACTCGTCATTTTGATTGCTGCATTTACGGTTTATAGAATTATAATTACCGGTACTATTTCTCTAGGTTTTTCATAGTTTATTTATATCGAATCATGATACGATTTTTATTTCTTCAATCATAAAACTTGATCGAGACATCTAGACAAAATTATATTCTTAAACGGGCAAATGCAAGTCCTGCTGGGTTGCTGTTTGCGTTTTTCGTTAACTGGTGACAAGCTACTACGTAGTCAGTTACGACGCTGATCGTCGGGTGCAGGATAACTCTCAGACGTGATTACGCGTCAAATGACAACAAGACGCAGACACCATCATCGAGTCCATGCTTACGAAAACAGATAACTGGCTAACTAATCTCATAACCGACCTGGACGAGAGCCAGTGATTCGCCATATCATTAAGCCGTCTTATCGGCTTTCCTCTCCCCTAGGATAAATATAGTAGTCCTATCCAGTGACGATTAGATGTCGGTCCTCAGTAGGCGGATGACTTGCCTGTTTGCTTACTTTGACGATGTTTACTTAGTGCAGAATGACATAATTTGTTCGTAGATATTGTATCAATTCACGAGATTGATCTTGATTTATTCGAAAAATCATGTGTCTCAATATTTTCTTAATCAATTTTTCCGTATTTCAAAAATATGTCTGAATATTTTTTTTTAATTTTCCATGACGTGTTCACAATTTATTTCTGAATTGCCTAAGATTTTGTTTGTGGATCATTCTGGCTTGATGTCAGTTTCCGAGTCTACGTTTACTTATGCAGCAGCAATGACGAGCGTGGAACCCGGCTTCTGAAAACTTGGGACGTCATGGTCAATGGAAGTTTTTTTGGTTGTTTCGAAGTTCAGGACCACTATCCATGTTCAGTTATGTCCCAGGAATGGAAGTGCCTAGAACTCGTGGTTTTGTGGCTTATTCTGTTTCGCAATGCCCTGAATTCAGGCTAACCAATTTAGACGAGTGAACTAATGTTTCCACTACAGTTGACAGAACGCTATTTTCTCATCTTCGGAATTGTTGAATGATCCATGTGTCCCGTTGTAATCGGTCCAACTAATATGAACACCCCCCCCCCCCCCCCCCCTAGGGTATGATGTAAAACTTGTGAGTGTTTATATTTTCTTGTCATATACCTTATTTCCCGGTGAATACGACGAGGCCTGTTTTTAAGCCTGAAAAAAATGGCTTTTCGCATATAACCTGCCAATAAGACGAGTATATAATAAAATCGTATCAACATCGGAATCTTAAATTACCATGCGGAGGCTTTTGAGCGGTCGCCGCCTTTGTGCATTGGTTAATAAAATAGCCTATATAATGACTTTTTCTTGTAGAGTAATATTCAATCCATTTAAACATCATTGGTTCAACCTAACTCACGATTGCGTGCACCATATAAGAACATTACCGATCTAAAACAACACGGCAATGGTGAAAACGTGGGAATGCTATCGCCGAGGGTATTTGGTATTTTATGGTACGAATTGACTAATAAGGCGGCATCAAAAAAATTATCATACTCGTCTAATAAGACGATCCCCCAAAATCATGCCAAAAATTTGGGCCTAGAAAAGCGACTTATTCGCCGGGAAATACGGTATTTGCCTACAGGAGTGGTGACTCCTCTACGGCCCATGGGCCGGGGCCACGACCCATCTAATTGGGCCACATGGGCCGTGGCCCATAGCTTGATGGGCCGCGGCCCCTTCAGGAAAAATTCAATTATCTTAACAAAATTTTCAATTTTTACCATATTGTCAATATTCAAACCAAAAAAATATACTCCTGTAGTATGTGTACCAGGTTAGGGTTAGGACAAAAAAAATTCAGATTTTTTACATTATAGTTCTATTATGAGTTCGGGGACTGTCTGTGTTAGCCAAGTGAATAGTTTCTTTACACAACTTGATGGGCCGAGGCCCAATTCGATGGGCCGTGGCCCCGGCCCATGGGCCGCAGAGGAGTCACCACTCCCACTCTTATTTGCCGCCGGTGACCGTACATTTGAACCCATCTGTATATCCGCGGGTTGCATCTATATGCGGGTGCTAAAACCCATGGGTGAGGGTTAGTATGAATTCAAATATCCGTAAAACAAAAAAAAAAATTCCATAGGTGCAACAGTATGCAGGTGCAGTTGTCGTGGGTTCAAATGTACGGGAACCTTTGCCGCCATATGCAGTGCATTGAGCTTTGCGTATATGCCATTACTTAGCCCCATTATTACACGCCTAATTGATTGATTACAACCTCCCTCTACTAGTAATTTTCACATATTGTCTGGTGTCGTGTTATCTTTGCTGTTGGTATTTGCGTAACATATTCGACGTGTAAGGGTTTTGAAATTTGTCCGTATTATTTGTGGACTGTTTGTTTATACGTATCGTTGAACCGTTGAAGGGTTTGCCAAATTATACGTGATACTCAATACTTCGACGTTGACTGTTCATTCACCGATTTGGTCTATGCATTGTTACCATAATTGTTAATTGCGCCATGTAAAAAGTTGTTTGAAGAGTTTTCAAACGTTTAAAAGTTTTCTAACGATCCGAAGTTGTTAATAACAAAATGTTTTCAACAGTTGTTCAAAAGTTTCGAACTTTAGTACTGATTTTTTATTATGGCTACCGGTGGTAGACCGATTGAGAATGAGGGTTTTAATGAATTCCGAAATTTTCTGGATATTTGCAGAAGTTCCAGTAATGTTAGCGACGTAAGTTCTTCAGCGTCATCGCAAATTTTCTGATCGGCACGTAGGAGTGGAGCTGTTGACAAGGCGCAGCCTGAAGCAAAGGTTAGAGAGATGAGCGATGGAAAATTTTCGCGGTGGGTATCAATACATAGTATTAGAAATGAAAATTGCGTGAATTACCGTGGTTTTGCACCGAACTATAGCTCATTGATAATGTTCGTCACGGCATTTGCCAACTTTGATTCCACAACCATCTGATGGTGCTTCAGGTTATCCTGAATCTTCCTGTTTACAACCCTAGCCTGTGCGTTCACAATATTTGACAATGTATGTGTATCTACAGTATTTATAGTAAAACAGTGTCGTAATTTTTTATCAATTCACCACCAAATTCTCGTGAAATCTATTCTCTAACAACTTCTAAAATACAAAATATACGTTGTATATCCTTTATCCAGATAGTAGACAATATGGATAACCGAACTAACCCTAGTACGCAAAGGTAGGCTTACGCGCGACCGATTCGGAAATGTGGCTTTGTTCTCAGTGAAGAGTTCGTCGATCTCAATGATTTCGATAATTTGCCTGCCATTGCTGGACGCTTGGGATTTTAAAGTGGCCAAATTTGGAGAAAGAGGATCGTGATTATTAATTACCACCTCTCCAAATTTGTCACCGAGCAAGCTAATGCTTCGAAATCAAACTTTCGTCTCGCATGACGACTGACGAGACGGAAAACAGCGAATTATTATGAAAAATCTAAGGCGAAACGAAGTGTTTTTGCTATTTCGACTAGTGGTTCAAATATGTGTGGTTCTTGCTGCCCGTGTTGTAATTTCTCTAACGAATTATTCAATTGTAAGAGGTTTAAAGGCCTTTCGCAGTAGGAACTATATAATGTGGCCAGACGAAATAAAGTGTACTCTATTTAGCCAGTTGTTCTCAACCTTTTTTCCTTCTTTCATGGCCCACTTTCGTTACATAAAAATTCTGTGGTCCACTAACTTTCTCATGCAAGGAAAAAACTACAGGAAAAACAAGACAACAAGACTCTTTTTGCAAATATTAATATTTTTACCTTTAATAAACCTGAAACCTCAATTCAAAATAATGAATCCTATTTCTGAAGATGCCCTGGATGCGGAATATGGTATAGGTATCTGGAAAACACCGATGGAGTGCATAATTTCAACGACATATTCTTTTTTGGCGATGACATTTCAAGAGAAACCCTACATGAGCATGAAGCCTACCTGTTGGAAGTAGGCCTATTATAAAGGTTATGGACTCCAATATTGTTCAGCATTTGGATTCGCAAACAATAATTAATGCTTATATGCGTTTTGAATGCCTAATTTTTCGCAAATATGACTTCAGTTGTAAGTTGTGCGGGTACCATCCAATCATACTTATTATGGACATAAACCGGAGGTTCGCCTTCAAATGTCCTATTTCAATGTATTCTCTTTTGGAAGATTATGATGAAACAAAGACTACTTTGTTGATTGCAATCAATTCTGGCCGTGTGTAAAGAACGAAATCCTTATGCTCAGGTATCCGGGCCATGTTAAAATGAAGTGTCTACATGAGTCCACAAACATGTTGTTTTGGGCTCCTCGTATAGGTTGCAAGTTGCAACACAAGGCTTTTTAATAGGGTTTACAACACCGAACATGGGAAAGCGTCTAACCCTCAAACAAGTGTTTTAGAGAAAGATTGCCGCACAATATCAGAAGAGCGTACCGTTGAACCTCTAACTCAGTCGAAACCAAAAGAAGTTTCTGACTTTAATTATCTGGGTATATCTTCACGTGGGTCCAAAATTGACAACATTTTGGCAATTTTCAAAACATTAGAAAAAGATGACCAAAACTTTAACAAAGCTTTAAAAAGGATTTGGGGCTTTTTTGGTGGTTGGGTTTCGGAAATATGTCCTCATGGCATTGTTTACGTCATTATATTTGTCCCGAAGACAGAGAGCCCACGTAATTTTGTCGATATTCTACTATCTGTGAAACACCAACCCAACACAACGGTCATCGATATTGGCAACATGCTAGTCGCTCACGAAAACTTCAGGAAGGATCGCATGTTCCACCCTTTCAATGGCAGGGTTGTGGAACCAACTGATGAGAACAGTTGTCTGGCTGATATGGTTATCGTTTTTCTGGGTTTTTAAAGACAGAGTAAAAATCGGCTCGACGCCGCATTCACATCAAATAAATCAGATAAAAGCTGAAAATCACATATTCCTCTTTCTTTCAATGATAGATATCCATAATGAGGCGCTTAATGAAGTCATCTTAACATCGTTTGGAATAGAGATACTCGTACAGACGGATGATATAAGTCGTGGAGATAGTGAAAGTCAATGCTATATGGCATGCAAGCATTATCTGTCTCTGACAAAGAACGATGTCATGGTTTTGAAAACTGGAGCATTGCTGAATGATAAGCATATCAATGCAGCAATGGATCTTCTTAAGCGTCGGACCTTTGACATCGATGAACTTTGCGACGTGACCACTAAACCTACTCAAGGATTTGCCGGAAGGAAAATGTGCAAAATTGTATCCAAATTTTGCATGTTGGATCTAATCACTGGATCTGCATATTCAATGCCAGACGAAGGTGAAAAATGCACCAATTCATGGCATGTGGAACTTGGTTTCAAATGTCTCAGAGAACCTCCCGAAGTAACCCAAGAAGAATATTAGAATTGGACTTGCGGCGACTGCGAATCCACAGGAAAGCATTTCAAAGCTATACGAAACATTTTGATAAAGTCGTCAAAAATGAGCAAGTGGAAACGGACAAATATGTTTCAATAGACAACTACTATCTGCAATATTCTTCCGGGAATTCCATTTTCGAAATGCGAGGAATATGTCGTCTGTGTACGAAAAACTACATATGAATGTAATGTATGCCCCAGAAATAAGCCAGTAAAATGCTTTCACATTGTCGCCAACTTCAATCTCAAAAGATTTCCTAATCGTTTCTATTAAATCGACGGGAAGAGGTTGGAATCGTATTCCGCTTCGAAAGTGCAGCGTAACTTCTTTGGGTTTGTCGCAGATGGTACCAATAACTATTTTATTGGGTAGATATTGGACGACCCAGAACTGTTAGCTACACGCGCGTATTCTTTATTAACGTAATCCTCCAATGTCCTAATAAATTTCAAGCGCATTATATAGGCTTACTATCTTTCGAAAGACGTCGCTTTAACTGACAAAGATGATACTCCACCACTTTCCAATCACACAGCTGCCCCAAGCTGTACAGTTTTGCACGTGAGTTTGACCTTATACATGTGAGCTTGTTGTTTAGTTTGATGATTTAATTAATAATAAAAATACAAACATTCCGATCTTACTTGACGTTTAATTTATCATGTATATATAACAAGATATATAATTTGTTTATCCCCTGAAGTAGGTATAAGCGGCATCATTATCAGAAACTCTCGATACTTCGCCGTCGCGTACTCGAGGAAACGCAATCGAGCTTCACGGTCAAGATATTCCGCACAATACATTAAGCAATTCAATGCAATCGCCATTTCCGACAATATAACTAGTAAAAGAGACAACCTTTTTGCTTGAATATTATTGGGAAGATCACCAAGAGTGATGTTACATCCATGGGCATCGTCATGGGGGTTGTATTCAGATAAATACAGGGGTTGCCTTATTTCTTTGTCGGCGCCAATTTATTAGCGTGAACATTGTGATAAGCATGATTCATAGAGATGCCGACCGAACTAGTCTGTTTATATTACCGTATTGTCGTGTAGGTGTCTCGATATACAACACAGAACATGGTGGAGCGGATATTTACAATCACGGAATGGGCAACCTTCAATTTGAGAGTACTGTCTAAAGTTCTAAAACACTGGTTCTCAACCAATGGGCCATGGCCCACTGCTGGGCTATAGAGACATTTTCAAGTTGGCCACAGCCCACAAGCCTGTTAAAAATTACTATGGTTATTGAAAAGTTTAGTTTCATTTGTGTCATCAGAGTCAAATTTTTATTGTAGTAGCAATTAATGATGCTGCTGCTTTTCATTCTCATTATTAAGGACGCACACGACTGCCCCTTTCTTCAACGCTTAGAGTTAGACTCATCGATACATCTACACTGCAGAAACGTAATATCCCCAATTACTATAACCAGTGGATCCAACCCGCGGCTCGCGAGCCGCATGCGGCTCTTGCGCCCTTTTTATGCTGCTCTTTTCGCCTTGGTTATTCACACTTGGCCGTCACACCGAAGTCACACTCGGCCGTATTGGCGTTCATTAAATTAATTTGGAAGATTGGCATCCATGTTGTAACAGTATGCCATAACTCCGCTCTTCCATTTTAATTGAGGAAATTCGCGAGGTGAGTATCGGTGTACAATTGGGCGTGATAAGAGTCGTAGATGCAAGCGCATGGCGGACGTTGAAATACTAATTTTTTTTTGGACTCAGCATAACAGTCGAGAAAACGATTTTTTAACAGATTTTAGATTCAGTGACGCGCACCGGCATTTTTCTATTGAAGCCAAACATTTCCAATTCTTCAACACAGTAGATTTTCATGACATTTAATTGTTCAGTAAATAATTATTCGTTATTATATGTTTTATTGAATTTTGTTATGTGTTTTACAGTACCAACAATTATTCGAATGCTGCGTGGTACGCAACAAGATTTCATGTAAATAGCAAGCGTTAAAAAGTTTTAACTATGTAGCATCAAATTCACCAAAATATATTTTCCGTGATAATGTCGATTTTAATGTCACATTTTGACGACAAAAGAATATTTCACAAAATATGAACAATATCAGCAATTGAAAAATAAATAATGCACTTTATTTTAGAAACAGAGATTCAGTGTCTCAAATCAACTGTTGGATTCTGCTGCCATACTACATATTTGCTGCAAAGTAATCATCCAGCGGTACAACGGATCCTCCTCCGAAGTAGTCGAGCAACCAAATCATGTCAATTTCTAACTTGGTAACATGGAAATCATGAGAAGATGGCCAATACTTCATAACTGGGTGTCTTTTGAATAAAGATGCTAAAGCAAATGCTCTCTTTTCGCTGTTGGTAACATTTACCTGCAAAGCGGAAAAATATGAAAAAGCGACAAACATTTATTTTATTGTATATACATCCATTTGCTCAAAAGGAAAAATATTCTTAAATTACACCCAATTTCGAAGGCGAATGTAAAAGCAGACCAACGGAACATACGAACAACTAGAATTGCAGAGTGTAATTTATCCACTATAAAGAGGTATGAATGTACAAATATGAAATGTCTTCAGTATTAGTTACAAACTATATTGCCAATTATACCATTTTTCCTGATAAGGTTAGTCTGGCGCATCTCGGGTCTTCGGGATCGAAATCCTGGTCTCCACAATATTGGGTCTCCATCTCCGACAAAGTAAACGAAACAATTGGATTCGTCATAACATCTTGCATGCTGACGTCCAAATCAGTGACGTAAAAATACGGTATTCCTGTACCGAGTAAAAAGATGTTATGTGGCGGTCGAATATGTTGGAATACATTCATATATGTATATATATAATTGTTAAAGCGTTGGACTCAAATACATTACCATCGCTGCCATCTCAACCAGGATTTTATAAATTGAGTAGCCACTGCCGAACCGGACGAAGGTCGCGTAGGGCTATCAACCGTTTGGCAACCGACAAGCGTGACGGTATAAATTATTGCCAGTTTTCATGAAAAATTGAACATGTGAATTACATTATTGCAGCAAAATTTTGGGCAAATGTAGGGTTCCATAAAGCTCAGTGGAAATTGGAAAAAAAGTATAGCCTTCTAGGCAATACAGTCATCTTTAATAGAGAAAATATTCTGAAATAATACTGAATATAATCGTACATTATTCGCAGACAAAAGCGATTTTCCTGGCAACAATAACGCAAATACGGTCATTAGTAGCAATAATGAAATCTATGGGTGGATTATGGCTCATTCATATTTCGTTTTAACTTCAGTCACCTCTACAGTGTGTTTTATGATGTAATCCGATTAAACGAAAGAAAACGCTAGTTGCTAACAGTTGCAATTTCAATTCTGTTTTATCATATAGATACTTTAATATATCGATAATAAATTCACCTAAACAGGTCATTGTTATTGAAATGGTTTGATTTGTAACTCAATACAACCAAGAACCCAAAGTGATGGTTTGATGGCGCAACAAATTGGAGGCAAACGTAACTATGATATTTATTTAGTGTGCAGCAAGACTCTTGGATCAAATAATGAATCGGAGGCATGTGCCAAAAGGTATTGTGAGGTATTGAAAATTTAATGCTTGTCCGGGGTATCGCTCAGCTAAATAGTAACAGGTCGAAATAAACAGAACAAAAGGCGCTCTTACATGTACAATTCAAAACGAGTTTACTAGTCGCACGATGTATTGTTGAAGTAATTGTACTTTAAGAGCATTTTTATCGGTCTAACCTGTGCCATTTCCAATAGGTCCGTCGCAGAAAGAAAATACATTCGAAAATGGTATTCCAGCTATTTCTTTTAAAGTCGACGTTGTCGCAACGACTGCCCACAACGTTGCATGAACCAGATATCTTAACACAAGAACAACATCTTATATGGTAGTCGATTTGAACCAGCTGTCATAACATATTCCTAAATTATCACCCAAACTGGAGCAATTGTGTCATGTTCAGCAGAAAGTAAACAACGTTAGCTTTGGCGGCATTTACGTTCAAGATTGCCAAGACATGAATGCCTATTTGGAACGCATTTCGTCATCAAAATCAAACGTTACTAATGATATTACGAAAAGGAGTAACATCGCCGGAACAACGTTATTGATTATTTTCTCCACTAACCGCTAAGTTCTTCGATGAAAAGCAAAGATAATTATTTTCTACTTTAAATACGATAAATAATCTTGACGAACATTCCGTTATCATTAAATAAATTCTTTTAGATACTTGCCTTGCAGTCTTGGCCTTCTCTTGGTGTGGCGGGGGCGAGTCTTTAAGACTCCATCTTTCGTTGTATATCTTTTGCGCAGGAATACCACACGTTACCAAAGAAAACAGACAAAATTTAGCAACAAATATAAAACTATTCATACTAATTTATGTTGACTGAAAATTAACTCCCTTATGGTTTGCTGAAATAATCATGACTAAATTATAAGCTATGTTGATACTGAATATATATTAAAATTTTTAAGCGGTGTAATATGGTCATATATACTGCAAAGCTGGTAATGAATGTACACTAAGCAGCTCAGCGGGCAAGTAGTATAGAAAATATTTTACAGTATAAATTCCCATGGGTAGTACATTCTTAGAAAAAGGTTTTTAATGCGGTAATAATAGTTTGTGTCAGACAAGAACTGGAATAAATAACTGAAATAGCTGACTGTTGCTATCATGAATTTAAATAGGAGTCAGTATCAGACGGGCCAGATTGATTTACCTAACCGACCGGATAAGGCCCGCGGCCCGTAGTTTGCCCATATCAGGTTTATAGGCACCAAAACTGATTGCTCATTCTCTAAGACTCACACAAGTCAATTTCGGTAAAACCACATAGACGCTTATTAATGAGTAAACTAACACATGCGAATGTTGCCATATTTACAATAGAGAGTATTCAAGGTCAGTCAAATTTTTAAAAATGTGTTTTCACCAACAGTGCACTGAGATTTAATTTTGTATAATATCGTATCGCATCGTATATATATATACTCTAAGATTAAATATAGAAGTCACAATAGACGAAGTGACGACAATCAGATAATGCATTTTTGTCTTTTTTTCAAAAAATTTGCAGATGCAGGAATTTACCATTGAAATTTCACTGAATTGCGAAATACAAATTGGAATGACGTAGAACATAACTGCAGAACAATACTATTTTTACGTCATAAACGACTGTGCATAACGAGTATGTATTGCTCTTCAACCGGGTATACGGTATACCCAAGTGTATACCAGACCATAAGTTGGGTATACAACTGATAAAGGTGTACAGCCTAATTCAGGGATTCTAAACTCTAATATAATAAATTATAAAATATTCAAGCGGAGACAACAATGCAGACGCGGCGCACATGAAATATAAAATGTCATTTACGCAAAGAACCGACTTGAGCACATTCTTACATCCCAAATTATACAGATAATGCGGTCACGTGTCTGGGTTGGTGATTTCGGCTGCCATGCATTTCGTTTAATTTACGTTGAACATTATTTCCGTTGACGCTAAAGCCGTCAGTCAAATTTATAACTTGCGGACACTAGCCTATTAGATTGCAAGATGATATTGCAATACAATATGTGCTTAAAATTTGCGGACACTAGCCTATTCGATTGCATGATGATACTGCAGTACAATATGTGCTTAAAATTTAATGTTTATTTAAGCTTCAAATAAACATTGGTATTTGTAAGGTATACAAAGTTCTTGAAAAATTGTAAAAAGGTATACCACGATAAAAAAAAGGTTAAAGAACACTGACTAGAGTAATGAGATAATGCATTTTTGTCTTTATTTTGAAAAATTTACAGATGCAGGAATTTGCCATTGAAACTTCACTGAATTGCGAAATACAAAGTGGAATGACGTAAAACATAACTGCAGAACAATACCATTTTTACGTCATAAACGACTGTGCATAACAGCATTTTATGACAACCCAATGCATTGTTCGTCATTTCTATTGATAATTGCAAGTCTCTATTTACTTGAAAATTTTCTTAACACATCAAAAACTGTTGGTAATATCATAAAATAATTTTAAATATTCCATCTCGTGAAAAAGGAGGGCATTTTAGAACGTCATCGGAGGACGAAAAATTTCAAGGTAAAAGGAGAACAAATCCTCCAAAAGGAGGACGTATAGTCAGTCACTCTACGCCAGCCCTGGGCAAGTTGTGGCCTGCGGACCTCTTCCGGCCCGTGGCATCGTGTCATCCGGCCCGCGATGGATTTTCTATATTTTGACACTTTCTTTTATATTTACATGTAAAATATACTTTAAATGTAAACGTTATTATTGTAATAAATATAAGTGATTTAGTAGCGATGTTTTATCGACCATAGTACCACCTGTTATCTTTGAGAAAATGATCAGCGCTTGTTTTCTTTGCACGTAATCACTGAAAAATAACGAGTTACTGTATATAATCACCGGCGACAAGATGCTTAAGACAAATAGAGGAGTGCCGTGGTATTTTAAAGGACTCTAAAAACTTTTAGCCTCGCAACTCTTTCCAATATACGAGGTGTGGCTAAAAAGAAACGAGACTGACGTCACAGATTGCGCAACACGATTAACCATTGGTAATCAACACTTTTACAGTGTGGTGTAATATGTGTTCTTTGTTCAACAGCTTTTTTGACACAATATCGCAATTATTTTTGCTCTTTAGGAGCCATAGGTGAATGTGATTAATTGCTTGTTGAAAAAAAAATTGCCGTGCGAGATCTGATTGAGTTTTTTGGCGATAGGGGGTTCAATTGCAGAATGACGATTGAGCAATGAATTAACATTAAATTTTGTGTCAAACTTGGAAAAACGGCGACTGCGACTTTGAAGAAATTGTGTGATGTTTATGGAGATTCTTCCATGTCCAGAACAAGAGTTTTTGAATGGCACAAGCGATTTGTGGGATGCAGGGAGGATGTGGCGGATGATTCGAAGTCAGGAAGGCCTTGCACTTCCACAACTGATACCAACATCGAAAAGGTATCAGTTGTGAGTTCAGTTGTGAAAGGCAGTTGATTCGCAGCGACCGTCGCTCAACAATTCGCGTCATTGCGAAGTTGGAAAAGACAAAAAAAAACGGTTCGCACCAGTTTGGTTGACACTTTTGGCTTGTGAAAGGTGAGTGCCAAAATGGTGCCAAGGCTGTTGACTGAGGAGCAGAAAGCTCAACGATTAAATGTTGCCCAGTTGACATGCATTTTTCCAAGTTTGACACAAAATTTAATGTTAACTCTTTGCCCAATCGTCATTCTGCAATTGAACCCCCTATCGCCAAAAAACTCAATCAGATCTCGCACGGCAATTTTTTTTCAACAAGCAATTAATCACATTCACCTACGACTCCTAAAGAGCAAAAATAATTGCGATATTGTGTCAAAAAAGCTGTTGAACAAAGAACACATATTACACCACACTGTAAAAGTGTTGATTACCAATGGTTAATCGTGTTGCGCAATCTGTGACGTCAGTCTCGTTTCTTTTTAGCCACACCCGTATATTCGCGACCCCTGTTCACGTTTACAACGCTATGATACCAGCAAAGTTATATGAATACGATGTCTGGCCTTGGAGGGCTGGTCCTAATTTGGCTCTCCCCAGTGTCAACGATCAATGTCGGCATTTGTTACTGCAAGTGCACGCTACACACCATGCTGATAATACAGACTATACATACACAAATATAAAGAAATATGAAAAAATCGCATTTTAGGCCGAAAAGAGACGCCGAAAACCTATACTGGTATATCGAGCAAATCTCGGGAAAGTCTAACACTACGTGATAAATACAAAATCGACATACAGTCGAACAAAATATGTTATTCAATAAGTAAATAAAGAAATAGGTACGCCAAGGCGACCTGGTACATACCAAGAAGTCACTGTTTAAAACAATAGAAGGCTTCTACGATCATTTATCGGCATTTCTATGTAAGCGCGCTGCTTCTCTGATCTTATATATTCTCTCGTAATCGCAAGATTTATGTTTTGCACTAGGTTTATGATTTATATTTCGAGTAAATATTGTAAAGAGGAACATTAGATATAATATATATTTTGTGTATACAATAAAATCTTGCAATGTAGAGTGAATTTACTTAAACCGGCCCGTCACTGCATTTTGGACTTGGTGGCAAAAATAAGCAATGTGGTGGCAAAAATAAGCCCTGCGCTACGCTGTATGCCAGGAGTGACCAACCCACGGCTCGCGAGCCGCATGCGGCTCTTGCCCCGGTTTTTACCATGGTTATTTTAAAGAAAACATCACTTGCAAACTAGACGGATTGTTTGAAATTCTCTTTTGTCTCTGTCTCTAAGATGAGGCTGCAACTGAGTTAAAAATGATCGATCTTTACGGAGAAGACAAACCGAAATGCGCTTTGAGAAAAGGGACCATTAAGTTATGGAAAAGAATGCCAATGAATAAATACTCTAATGTCAAACGAGCTGCGCTTAGGATATTGTCAATGTTTGGGCCAACATACGTCCGCGAATTCTAGCCTAAAACACGTGACACAGTGTGGTGTTAAAATTTTTAGGGCGGGTGCCCCCCGCTTAGGGGGACACCTTATAGGGGGTGAACACCCGCCCTGAAAATTTTAGCACTACACCTAATTTTGAGGTGGGATTCCACACTGTAATCCTATGACATATTTATTAAATCGGGGGCTCTGAAACCGCGGTCTGCGGGCCAATTACGCCCCGCTTATCGAATTGAAATGGCCCGCCGGTTAAACTTTAACCTTAAAGGTACTCTATCATCTATTCCAAATGATGCATCAACAAGGGAGATTGGATTGGAATTTGGATGGGGTTCAAGGTTGTCAAGGTAAAAAAGGGATGTTTTTAGAATATTCTGGGCATTGAAAGGGTTAGACAAATGGGCACAAACGAGATGTGAGCTATGAAAATGAATACAGAACGATGATGCGTGAGAGAACTATAATAATCCTAAATAATAATGTAGATGTCTATTGCTAAGTCAACACTTCAGTGGAACGAAATGTATTGAAAAATTGTACAGAGTGTCCATTGAAAAATTGATTTTTTTATATCAGGAGAAATGACTTCCAAAATTTACAGCATACATTTGCGTAAAAATTTCCCTTCAACAAACGGGCGATTGTTCTTAGAGATGGTGCGGGTTACTGCCCAATAACGTTGATTAACTTTCATTTGAAATTTTTCTGAACATGCTTGTTTGAGTTTTGTATGAATTTGGCAATGAATATTTTTCAGAACTGGAATATTTTGCTGGCAAGGAAGACAAATCGCTGAAGTTTGATTCTTTTTATTAATAAAGACATAAGAACGCTGTCATTCATTTAAAAAACGTCTGATTTCAGTGTCTAGTTTTTTTTTTTTTTGACATCTTTAGGCTTTCTTAAAATATGGCCGATATTATACCTAAAATACTTCCGCATGTAATCCTAATA